GTCTACGGTTTTTACTGGCTTATCGAACAAACGAATACGAATGGACCCTAGACCATCACTTACTGATTGCCCCTGGAAGTCGGCCTGTTACAAAAACACAGCTTCCCTATCATCAAATGTCACGGCACGCCCCTGTGCCCTAGAAAGATTTTAAGGTGGTGCGAGATCTCATTGTGGTGTCACCCCGTAGAGATTAAATTATTTTAGGCGTCAGAATTTTTCATCGAGCTATTCGAACTTGAGTAGCTAATATTGAAAGATTGATCGCGGGCCACATAAATTCATTAGAAGGGCCGTATGTTGGCCATGCCTGCCCTAGTCCCTAACTGTAACTGATTTAGAACCGGCATGCACGTTACTCTTCGCATTGTAAAATGACATTGCGCATGCGTCAGGAACTTCTGTTCGAACAAACCTGACCTGCCGTCCGGGTCAGCGTTTTTCAAAAGGTGGCAACACTAGTACGAGCTATACGCTACGGCCGCGTTTCTTTATGCAGCGCTCGACAAGCGCTTTACAGCGAACCCTCTGAAACCCGTTTCTAAATGCAGCGCTGCAATGTAGCGAACCGTTTCTAAACGTTTGCTGCAAGAGGTCGCTGCAGCGAAGATAAAGCAGCTTTTACGTCCGCTACACGTGTAAGGCCAGGAACACACATGCGTAAAATTGTGTGGCTGAAAACTGAATCAGAAATCAGCTTTCAGTTCAGTTTCTGTTTTACGCTTTTATGCCAGAACACACATACGTAAAAATTCCGGCCGAATAGGAAACACCACTGCCACCAACAGTGCTAATTTTATTAATTTTTTCCTCTCATAGAGGCTATCTATTCCTTTGTACCTTCCATTTTTTCTCCACTTCCTCTGCTATAATATAGAAAATTTAAATTAATAGACTCGTATTCCGAATTCAAATAAAGAACGTGTGATCTAAATACTAGGCCTATATATCGATTCTACTAGACTTACCTGTTATTTGAAATTTAACACCTGTAGCCATCCATAAACGTTGTTTAAATACAGTGTCTTTATACATGACACTGATTTGGTCGAACGGATTCAATAAACTCCTCTATTTCATTTATTTTTCGTTTTTTCGAGACCATCACAATTGTAGGGTTAACCCTCATTGCCGCCATTGTTAGAATAAAAACCACGTGTCTACTTCGACGTCACAGGAAAGACTTCTCTTTATTGGAGGAATTTTGGCGTAAAAATTTTTCGGCGTAAAAAGTAGAGACATGCTCTACTCTATTTTCAGTTTTGTTTCAGCCAAAATTTCAGAAAAATTTTTACGTTTTCTGTTTTATGCTAGATTTTACGCCGAATTTTACGCATGTGTGTTCCTGGCCTAAAGCAAAATGGACGCTTGTGTGTATAATACATTATGCTGTAAAAATAAAAAAGTCGAAGTGACTGTTGATAAAAATATTATGGAAAGATTAAGAAGTATTAAATTTTATGAAATGACTCTGAAAGTTATCTAAAGAATAAGAAAATACTATACAGTACTTTAAATATAATTATATATCAGTAACAAAGTTCCAAGGATTAATTTTGTTGATTAAATCAATATTATGACCATACAAATAAATTTGGGTCTATGCAGAATTATCCTTTTTAATTGTCCAACAAGAGACAGATGGTAACAACTTAAAACCGACAAATGACATTAAAAAATACAGTAGAGCCTCGATTATCCGACTCAATTGGGGACTGGGGTTGGTCGAATAACCGAAAAGTATGAAAAAATCCATTATTAGTGTAGTATTGGCCTATTATTATATCCCATGTAATTAGTATATTAGTATATCGCTATAAATCTACTTCGCGTTGAATTTTCATCGATGTTAAGCCTAACAAAAATTTTTTAAAATAATAATCGTCGCTATTGTATCGTTAAAAATTAAAAAATTAAGCCTCGTTTAAATACTGGCTCCCTTTCATGGTCGAATGAGTGTTGCCAGCTAAAACACGTAAAAATAATATTAAAGTAGCCAAGACATAGCCAAATATTGTNTCTGAAAGTTATATAAAGAATAAGAAAATACTATATTTTAAATATAATTATATATCTTTTATCTCTTTACTTTGTTCACATTTATGGAAAGATAAATGCTCGATTCTTTATATCTCTTTATTTAAATATTGTAGTTCTTTAACTAAAGCACTATTTTCGGCTGTAACTGGAATTAAAGGATAGATTATGACGTCCGTGTTTCGCTCGAGCGGAAAGCGTTTCTAAACTATGATGCAGCGACGTGTAGCGATAGTTGCTCGTGACGTTACGCTGCACTCTTGCTGCATAAAGAAACGCAGCCTACCTGAATATTATGACACTAGCGGCATCTCGTGGTAAAACCCAGAACTACGGCTACGGAATCGTTCTGTAATTAGCCGCCAGTAATCTACATAGCTGATTGATGTTTCGAGTAAATATTCTGTCTAGTGTTACCACCAGTCCGGTTTTTATCGGATAGTCCGGGAATTAACTCACTGTCCGGGTGAACTATTAATTTTGTCCGGGAATTTCGTAGAACTTGTGAAATTACGATGAAACGAAGTTCTTGCAAAATTTTTTACAAATTTACACTATTTTAACAGCGAAAGAACTCACACTCACAGTAGCTCATCTGCAATTCTGCCATGTTAGTCCCTGTTTACGCCAATGTGTGGCGCGCAACCTGTCTATTTTTTTTTTTTTCATGTTCGATCGCGTCTCCAATAGAGCTAAGTCATCTGTACCTGTTCTTTCTTAATTTAGGTTACTTACATTACTCCTAACTGTAACTGATTTAGAATTGGCATGCACGTTATTCTTCGCATTGTAAAATGATACTGCGCATGCGTCAGGAACTTCTGTTCGAACAAACCTGACCTGCTGTCCGGGTCAGCGATTTTGTAAAGGTGGCAACACTAATTCCGTCCATTGTTTTTATGTCCACAACTTTGACATGTCTATCCTTACCAGGGTAAGTTCTTATAATTCTGGCCAAAATCCACTTTGAAGGTGGTATATTCTATTTTTGACAAGAATTAAATCATTGTACTGTAGGTTTCTTCTGTTTTCTGCCCATTTTGGTCTATTTTGAAGTTGGCTCAGATACTCCAAATGCCAACGTTCCCAAATGACTTAGTACTGTCTTTATTCAAAAATTGCAGTAACCTCCGAAGCTCAGTTTTAGCACCGACAAAGTTTGAGCCATTGTCACTAAATATATCAGTGGGGTTACTTCTTCTTGGAGTAAACTTTCTGAAAGCTGCTATAAAAGCTGCAGTTGTCAAGTCACTTACGACCTCAAGATGGACTGCATTTGTAGCCATGCAGATAAATACGCTAAATATGATTTCCGGTGTTTTGTTGTTCTTTCATGTGACACCTTAATAGGAAATGGTCCTGCATAATCTATTTCAACCATCGAAAAAGGTCGCAGTTGCTAAACACGATATTGTGGAAGGACACCCATTTGTTGACTTTTTTCCGTAGCTCGATCTCGAAAACAAGCCATACAATCTTTAGTATACCTTTTTACTGAAATTCGAGTATACGGAATCAGTTGTCGAATTTGAGCTATGAAGAGATTAATGCAAAGATGAAGCAGCAACCCATGAAAATATTGCACTGTGATTTTCGTGAGGTGGTATTTCTCTGGTAACAGTAGTGGATGTTTTGAATCAAAACTAATACAGTAGAACCTCCATTATCCGGATTTTCGATTATCCGAATTGTTCAAATTAAACAAAAATTTTACGAATTTGCTGATTTGCAATTGGCGAATTACGACAGTTTATGTACGTGATGGAATGCATAACTTTTTTGTTTCAACAACGTCTCACCCAGCACAGTGGTCGTAAACTCTTAAATATATTTTACGTAGTAATAAAAACATAACTTGACATACGTATTTATAAATAATTTATATTCAAATTACATCATTTCTATGACCAAGGGCGGCGTAAGGCATGGACGACGTGGGCCACCGCCTATGCCTCGCGGTCGAAGGGCCTCGCGCCTCGAAGGTTTATGCATTACTTAAAAGCCGCGAACGCGACGAAAAAATTTTACTCGTCATAAAACGATAAATAGTTTGTCAAATTTTTATTCATAAAAATGCAGTTTCAACTGCTTTTTATTTTATAAAATCGTCTTTTTGCGCCACCAGAGGGCCTTTTAAACAATAGGTAGTCTGTTAGCATTGGTCAGTAGTAGTCCAAATTCAATACGAACATTTGTTTCTTGAAAATTTGATCACGATTTAAATACAGTATTACTTTTAATATTACCGATATGCCATCGAAAAGAAAACGTGTTATATTATTATTAAAAGATAAATTAAAGTATTTGTTTCGATTATCCGGATTTTTCCTTATCCGGACTACCTTCACCCCCAATTAGTCCGGATAATCGAGGTTCTACTGTATTTGCATTCTACAGTCTGTCTCCAACTCGAAGACAGCACTGTTCATCAACAAATGCTGTGAGTGCGCATAATCTGTTTTGAGTTATTTGTTTTAATTGCTTCAAAAACATCTCTAAAGCAAACCTGCTATACATGTCAAACAATGAAGACGGAAGAATGTTTTGTTTCTGTTGGAGTTAACTGTCTTATTTTTCTTTTATTTCTTACAGTTGTTGATAAATCTGCAATAAGCAAGGATGCGTTGAAGTTTTAACCATGAACAATGAAGATGACTTTCTTATATTCAAAGGATCTTCAATATGAGTTTTGCCTGTGAAAGCGACCATTGTCACCTTTCTTTCTTCGTGAACATTATAATAATTGATTGTACTTACCTTCTAAGTTAGTTCCTCATCGTAAAGAAACCTTGGTCCACTCCACCATTGACCACACGAGTTTAACGCAGCTGGGTTAAGCCCACGTGACGCATAATCTACAGGATTATCTTTGGATTTAACGTGCTTCCAGTGTTGTAGAGGAAGAAACGTCTGAATCTCACTTACTCAGTTTGCCACGAAAGTTTTCCAATTTCTAGACTCACTTTGAATCGAAGACAAAGCTATAGTTGAATCTGACCAAGCGAAAATGTTTTCTTTATTTATTTGCAATTGTTGATTCACTCGATGCATTAGCTTAGCTAAGAGTTGTGTTGCACAGAGTTCTAATCTAGGAAGAGTCACAACCTTCAATGGAGCCACTTTAATCTTTGCACAGAGTATCTTGATTATAACTTCTCCCTGAATTTGTTGCCTACTGTACACGACAGCAGCATAAGCTCGTTCAGATGCGTTAGCAAACCCATGCAGTTGAAGTGGGTATTTTCTGTCAATAGCATGACATGGTATTTTTATTTCTGTTAATGTTTGAAGTTCAGCCCTAAAGCCTTTCCATTGTTCTGCAATGACTGTAGGTAACAATTCATCCCATGTTGTTCCAATTGTCCAAAGGCGTTGGAGCATCATTTTGGCCTTGATTGTGACTGGTGCTAACCAACCCAATGGATCAAATAGTCGTGCGATGTCTGAAATTACAGTACGCTTTGTAGGTGGTTGACTAGAGAATTTGCACAACACGAAGTAAACTATATCTTCCTTAGTGCTCCAATTAAAACCTAAAGCCTTCGTTAATTCAGATACCTTAATGTGATGATAGTCAGTACTCTCAGATTGTTGTAAGGCTGATGTTACTGTCCTGTCATTCGAGATCAACTTGCGAAAATAAAATTGTCCTTTATTTAGCATCTCTGTAAGCTGTTGAAACAAATAAACTGCCCCCTGGCCTTCGTCTTTACCTGTCATCAAATCGTTCACGTAGAAGTCACGTTCAACCATTGTCGACGCTTCCACTGTCGATGTCCATGATGAATACTAACTTGCGATATGCTATATTAAACTAATATGGTTACGTTTACTGAACAAATCCTGAGAGACAATAGAAACTTTCTACCCACTTGCTAATGTTGTACTGAAATTTGCTCGATATTCCAACCAACGCAATAACCACGAGGTTAAGCTTAACGCACTGCATCAAAAATTTTCTTGAAGAAACGTTCCTCACTGATTGTGATTCTTTGTTATCGGACTTAATCCGCCTCGACGGACCAAAATTATGTTATGTAATAAATGATCTTTGTGTTTATGCTTTCCGTTGCCGCAAAAAAAGACAGGGCAAAATCTGCTTTAACTAATGCTCACCATACTAGTTCTCTCCTTTTTTCACGAGAGTTATGAGACCCATTTATTAATAATTTAAATGGTTACAGTTGTAGAAAATGTATAAAATAACTAGATATAATTAAATTATTGAGCATTCAAACAGTAATAAATTTACAAAACATAAATGTGAGAAATACCAAAAATTAAAAATAATATCTGTGGGTGGCAACATCATACCGCACCATCAAGTAAAGCTTCCACAAGCTGTACCAGCACTGGAAAACAATGTATCGTGGACCAAAGATTACTTTGAAGGTGATATTGCGTTGGTGTTTTAAACTATTCAAAGCGAGAAACTATAAGCCCTCCTCGAATTTTTGGATCCTACCACGTAGAAATACAATAAAAATGACGTGTTTACTTTTTATTCTGTATTTCGAGTTTTGCGGAATGTCGCCACATGTGTGTATTGTTTCTGATATTGTGTTACTAAATCCAGTGAATGTAATAATTAATATAACCATTTTTCATATTGCAATATGTAAATTATTCAATTCAATATTAAAACAATAATGAAGAATTTTTATATTCTCCAAACCGTATATTAGAATATATTTAGTGTTGCAAACACTGTTTTTAATACCATCCTTTTATAAGTTCGAAGAAATCAATTAATCTAAAATTTCAGGTATCCAGATATAAAGACACGTGTTTCAAATGGAAAAACAAATTATAGTTTAATTAAATAATTTTAATGTCGATCGTTCTGCTACAATTAATGTGATCGGTTAATAATTTCACACCTCCTTTCGACTTAGTCTGCAAGTGTTGATCCAGCTTTGAAACTTTCGCTCGTATCTTTCACGCCACGATATTTTATTTCTTTAGGGCTAAGAATTTCCAACTTTTTAAAATTATATTTTACTCAGTAAATTTGAATTTTTTTTTTCATTCATTATGAATCTTGTACATTGTTTTTCGTCATCCGTCATAACTGTTAGAAACATTATTATTAATTCTAAATTAATCTAAAATTGCCCAACTTCAATAAATATCGAATCTTTAAACAATTAATATGAAATTCAATAAGTTTTATTAAGTATAAAAATTTATATACAATCGTGAAAATTCCATGTACAATTTTAACTGCTGAAGTAATTATAATTCTGCTTTAGAGATATATTCACTGCAAGTTAAAGTTTAACGTGAAAATGGTTTCCTTTTGTAGTGCATTATTCTGTGGTGAAATGTTTTACTAGTAGAACACAGGTAGAAATATTGTAAGTTTCTTTGGCTAGTTACAGTCGTTTAAACAACAGCATAACACACTTTTTTATTAAACACGAGAACAGTGCTTAATGTTTCGTTGTCACTTTGGCTACTGTCGTTGTTCTAGGCACTTTAACCGAAGTGGAAGAACGAATCTTCGAATGTTGTCGAAGAATTCGTCCGTAAATAGGGATAGAAAGTCAAGTCCAGTTGATTAAGTCGTAGCCGGGTGAAAGGTCACTTCCCGGTGGCTGTATCACATTCGCTGGCAAATCGAAATCCGTGCAAGAAGGCCTCGGCAGAGAAGAGGTTTATGTTTTCCAGCAGCAAAACAACCGTTTCCACCAAGGCCTTTTACGCTCAACGGATTCTTCCAACATTTCATGTAAAGTTTAAAAAATTAATGTGAAGTTTTTTAAACTTTACATGAATTTGACGTCACGTTTTTATAGTTGTTCATTGAAAAACTGAAGCTTAGGATGACATCAGCAAATGGCTGGAAAATAAAAGGATTGTTCATTGTGTACAGGCACAATGAAGTGACGTTTTTCTCAACACTGGGTTTGATATTTAAACTTTTCTATTAATTTTATACTTTTAGCCGTTTTGTAATTATCGATACTATTGGTATAAGAGGTTTTAATATCTTCGTTTTCTTGTTGATTTTTTTGTTTTCTATATTTTTGTAGGTTACGCTTCAGTCTTCTGATTTTAATGTATTTAAATTTTACAGTTGACTTCATAATCCTAGTATTAATGTAATTCCGCTCATATGTTGGTATGTTCTGACTAATAGACTTAGGAAGGGTAAGTGTTTTTAATTGTCTATTCTCTGCAATATGTGCTTTTAGGTAATCTATATCGACTTTGAGTTTTCTAATCTCACCTTGTATCCTTGTAGCGTAGTTCGTTTCTCTGTGTGTTTCTTCCTCCATATCTTCCTATATTAATATCAACTGCCGTTTCAATGTCAATAATTTGTTGATGTTGTCGAAACCGTGTTGTATTTGCTTATTGTGTACAGGCACAATAAGCAAATACAACACGGTTTCGACAACATCATCAAAAGGATTGTTCGTTTATTCGTCAAGAAAGTGTACGTCAATTTGATGTCATTTTAAAAACTTATTGATTATAAAACTGAATAAATAACGTTTATGTATACATTCTCTGAAAGAAATAAACGCGGCTTATTCTCAGGATTTAAGGGCACTTCTATATAAAGATGTCTCTAGTAAGCGATGTTACTAGCGGTGCTTAATTTATATCTGAATTACATTATGTTAAAGATCTTTTTCAATTACTCATTATTGAATTGCAAACAGTTATCACGTATTAAATAGTAAATTTTGAGTTTTATATTTTATAACATCGATTCTTTAAACTATGTCGGACTCCTTTGTAATAACATAAATGTAGGTGAATCTCTGGCAATTAATTTTCAAATTTAGTTTATTTTTCATTTAGTTCTAATAAAACATTATTTAACGCGAACGAGTGTGATATTTTCAATTGTAATGTTATTTAATTTTTTGAGGATTTTTCCATTGAAGTTGAATTATTCTAAACGAAATAGGCGAGGAGTCCAGTGATTTATAGACTTCCATTTAATAACCCCTGTTTTATAAGATTTTAACATATTTTTACTTATTTAATTTGTAATTTTTCTAAGATACACATTTGATTGTGTATCTTAGATACACAGAATCAAGACATATACACATTTAATTGTTGAAATAATTATAATTTTGCCTTAGATACATACTAACTACAATGTTGTTTTTATTATTTATTTAACTTCAAAGCTGTGATCGCACCTCTAGTGTTATAAAGTAATAAATAGCACAATATAAATTTTCACGTAATCAGAAATTGTAACATTTTATTAGAAAAGAAAATAATTTATATGCCTAGGAACGAATTTAACACATTCGTTTGCATAATTCTTTTTTTTTCGCTTCGAATTATTTATTTTTCTTTTCGCAGGTGATTTGTTTTTGGGTTCAGAATTGCATTGATTTTGAAGTATGACCTTTGTCTTTTTTACGTAACATTTACTTTCGGAATCTAAAAATCAATAGAAATTCGTTATCCGAATTGATTTTAAACAATTGTTACAGCATTTGTAAATGTTTAAATACCGCAATTGTGTATTCTTGGCTAATTGATGTTTTCCTGATAGGAAGAATTGTTAGGCAATCGCACGTTTCTGTCTCTTCCTTCAATCCTATAAATTATTTCATTTGTATTTTGCTGATGTTTTCTCTTTCTTCCCTCCTTAAAATTAATAATTTTGATAGAAACTATGTTTACTTATTTATTCCATTATCATTTAAGTAGATAAAATATATATGGTCAAACTTCGAATTAGTAATAAGGATACCGTCTGTTTGCTTCTGAAATTGGTACTAAATCGAGATTCTCTTAAACTGAAATACAGTACCTCAAACAATAAGCAATGAAATCTACACGTTTTCAGTGTTTTAAAATCATATAGTTTGACAATAAGTCTTTGGCAATGCAAAAACTGTATATTTAGTAATTCAGAACTGAAGTGTTCTCTATTTTATGTTTTATGAGGACCATTGATCATTGGATTTCTGACAATTTTCTAATATTTGGTATGAAAATTATTGTCATTATATGATGTAAATTGTTTGTTTTTTAAGATTTTTTTGCCGTAGGTCATTCTTAATATAGATTTTGTGATAAAAATTATAATATAGAGTGGCCCAAAAGTCAGTTGACTTTTTAATATCTTGGTTAACTAAGTCAGTTAACTGACTTTTGGGTTACTTTATATTAACAATTTTTTTCATGTATTTATTTTAACGAATAATTGTCTGATATATGAAGAATTTTTTAAGCAAATGATATTTATCTTTTCTAAATATTTCTTATGGATTTACAACAGAATTACTACCTTTTTGTTTGTCTTTTTGAAAATTTTCGGTTTAGTTTTTTATCTCGCATTTCTCTTTTTCTTTATAGCAATTGACTGTCTTTCAGTTTTTCTTCCAACAACTGCAATCCTCAATCTCTAATGTAGTCTTCCGCTTATTTACCCAAAACAAATACAAGTATGAATACAAATTCCTTTAGGAATGAAATCTAATTATTTCTAAATTTACTCGAAGATCGTCTTTGGTTTCGTTTTTGTTGAACTTTTCTTCTTTTACTTCTGTGCGCTGAAAAATCAGATATTTAAGTTATAATTTGTCTTTTATAAATTATAATAATCATTTGAACACGCTTTAAACAATTTATAACCGTTTGAATGCCAATTGTCTTGAATTTCTTTTTCTGTTTTGTTAAGTCTGATTGAGATTTTTACTAGAATCATCTTTCTACCTGTAAAATGAATAAATGTTTATTACTTTGTCGAGCATTATAACAGACAACCTTTA